ACCAATGAGCATCTGCTGACCCTGGCTCCAGTTACCCAGCACACTCCACCTTCGAGCCTTCCACTCCCTGAGTTCTGTCTGAAGCTCAGGCTGCCCCACTGTCCATCACTGTGGACAGCATTCCTGTGCCTAACCAGCTACCCAACACCTCGCTTGGAGACTCAACAGGCATCTCAAAGTCCCACTCCAAACTGAACTCTTTCCCTCCCAGACCTGCTTCTCCTACATCGTCCCAGCCCTGCAAATGCCCCCTCTGCTCTTCTAGTTCCCCATCAACCTCTGTGTCACTCTCAACTCTGTTTCTTACATATTCCATTTCCAGCAAATCCCACTTCTAGAAATGTCTAGAGTCTGCTGTCTTTTCATCACCAGCACCCTTAGCAAGGTTCTTCCTTAGTGTGACGAACGGCGGAGGAATGACACCACGGAGCAGGCTCATGGAAGGCAAGGAGGCACAGACTTCATTCATCTGGGTGCCAACAGAGGGCAACAAAGCCATCAGTGGTGAAGAAAGGAAAGGCAGTGAATTTTATAGGGGATCGGGAAGTGGTCGGACCATCAGGGATCAGAGCAAATATTTGTGGTTGGGGTCTATGCAGCGGTCAAGGCAGATGTTTAGATGTTATCAGGTAACCTGGGGCTGGGAAGGGGAAGATGTGCTGTACTTTGTAGTCTTATCTCTTTTCTGTAACATCCTGTTCTGTGTTCTGTCTGCCTGGAGAAGGAACGGGCTGTATCTGGGCAGAGAGGACACAGCCTGTATCTGGTCTTTAGCTGCCTGAAGGAGCGATGTGCTTTTGCTGAGGGCTGCGGGTTTTTGTATCTGCTAAAAATGTAGTGTGGAATTAAACAACATATTTATTAAACAGGTCATGGCCAGATCAAGCCTGACGCTTAGCAAGGCTGACTTCCTCCTCTCCTTGGCTCACACGTCACTTCTCAGCGAGGCCTTTGCTGGCCACTTGGCTCAGGCTGTATTCCCTAGAAGCAGAAACTGACACAGAGGTTTGCACACACGCAGGCTATCTATGAGGGGCCAATACCTGTGAAAGGACAGGGAGGCAAAAGGATTCAGCAGACGTTAGCTGCGTACGGGCCTGACAAAGCCATACCTGATCTAAGAAAGAGCCACCGAGCAAATACAGCTGGGCATTGTGTCCTGGCCTGTACGCTCCCATCTTGTTCGGTGGTGCAGTGCAGGCTCACTGAGGCAAGGGGCCTCTCCGCAGCTGAGGTGGACCCTGAAGGAGCTGAAACCTGGAGACTGCTGATCACTCTTCTCCCAGGGAGTTGGAGCTGTTCTCTTTATCTCTGTTCCCACGTCTCCATTCTCTTTAAAAGCGTAACACACCCATATTCCCTTAATAGCTTCTATACTATAAAGTCTAGTGATTTAGTCTATTTATTATCTGGGTCCTTCACTGGAATGTAAGTTCTAACAGTAGAGGGAGTTTGGTCACTTTTGGCCACTGCTGCATTTAGAGTAGTACTTGGTTCAGAGCAGACACGCAGGAAATACTTGATTAGTTCAGTCAGCTGTCATTGTATTGTACTAGCCTTGCAAGGACCATGTCTTAGTCATCTTGTCACTATTTGGCATGCAGTAGGGGTGCTACCTAAATGGATCAATAAATCTATGAATGTGTTATTAACTTCATCATAAGGCAGGATTAGTGTGGCACTACCCAATAGAAATGCCATGTCAGCTATACTTGCAGTTTAAAATTTTTATTAGGTACATCAAAAATTAAGGAGCAACAGTGTAGGGAACAGGGGAAGGGGACATTACCAGAACCTCTGTAGTAAGTCTTTGTCTCCTGTGAGTCACAGCAGCACACAGCGAATTACAGGAAAGGTAGACAAATGAGAAGAAGCTGAGCTTTGGGTCTGATCAGTGCTGCTCTGGGCAGCAAAGACAAAAGACCCCTAGCTTGCAGCACCTTTTATTCAGTACGTGGGGAAACAGATGTAACAAGTGAAAAATGTAGAGTTCAGTACTTCACATTGGGATAAACAAGGTGTAAAAAGACTGGGGGGCAGTGGAAATCTCAGAACAATGAAGAACTATGCAGATGAAGATTTGGTTCCTCTCTGGGGTCTCCCACAGGTGTGGTCTTGACCTGGAGATTACAGCATCTGGGGATCACTGAGGTCTCAGTTGTGACCCAAGGCCAAAATGTAATTATGTCTGGAATGTTGTAGCTGGTTTGTAGGCAGGAAAACTAGGCCTACACAAATGATTTTTTCCTAAAATTGTGTAGTATTGTTCCAAACACAACAGATCATATTAATTGTAATATTATGCTGCTTAATTCAGTATATCCAAAGTAGAATCATTTGAATGTGTAATCAATACAAAATTATCAATGATTTTACACTGTTGTTTTACACTTTCATTTTATACAAAGTCTTTAAAATATACTATGGATTTTACACTGATACCATGTTCCATTTGGGCTAGCCACATTTCAAGAGCTTCACAGTCCTGTAGTTAGAACATTGCACATCCACAGGGCCATTCTGTAGTTTAGCGTCAGGATACAATGTATATTGGAAAAGGTCCCTTTCCTAACTCTTACTTACTAGCTGTCAATGTCCTCCAGTCAAAACGACAGGGACACATCTGTAGTCAAACAAGTGGGATAGACTGCTTGATAGAAGAGAAACTATGGGACATCTGGGTCAAAAGATGTCAGAAGGAACTCATTAATAGGATTTGGGCTTGTGTTAAGTGATTGGGGAGCGTTTAAGGAAAAAGGGCATCTCTCTGGATTGAGTGCTGACAGGAAGTGAAAGTAATTCTAAGACTGGGTATCTTTTTTTCACCCTTGGTACTGGGAATTGATCCCGTTGATACTGGGAATTCCCAGGGTACTGGGAACTGATCCCAGGGAACATTCCCCAGCCCTTACAAATTTTATTTTTAATTTTGAGATAGGACCTCACTAGGTTGTCCGGGCTGTTCAGCTTCCTGAGTAGTTGGGATTATAGGTACTGGGCTTGAACTTGCTGTCCTTCCGGTTCAGCCTCCTGAGTAGCTGGGATTATAGTATTGGGCCACTATTCCGGAAAAAATCGGGTATTTTAACAAATATTACCTAGATGAAGCCAGACTTGATAAAGTCTAAAGCTGTAATTGATAAACAAATGGGAGTCTCTCATATTAGAAAGGATAGGAGGATGTCTGATCGTTTTTGTGGTTTGTATGCTTATGCTTATGCTTTGGCTGTATTTAGACATGATTATAGGGTAGTTCTGTGTGGTGTTCCATAGGAAGCAGCCATGAGCACCCAGCCACCATCTAGGAACATCAAAGCAGGGCTGATTGGTACCTACCCACCTTAACACAGAGGTCAAAGATGCTCTTCTCCTCATAGATATATGAGCATGTGACTGAACTTTTCTATGGTTCAACTTTCTCATCTCTAAAATGGGACCACAAACCCAGATGTAGAGGCACACAGCTGTAATCCCAGCACTAGGGTGGCCCAGGCAGGATTGCCGGGATGGTCTCAAATTCAAGGCCAGCCTGGGATATATAGTGTGCTCAAGGCTAGCCTGAAGTACATAGTGAGATGGGGGAGGGGGGGACTGGAAAAAAGTGAGAACACAAGAACATCTATCCATCCATCTTTTAAGGTTATCAGTATTAGGTGAGATAACATGAGAAACTGGGATAGTACCAGATATATACTCACCATTCAATGAATGTCATCTGCTGCAGTTCAAAGATTCTAAAATGCAGTGTTGTGGTTTGTGTCTAGATGTCCCTCAAAGCCTCATGCAGTCTTTTTCTAAGGTGGCTAAACCTAGAATGTGTGTTGCTAGGATTAAGGGTGTGTAATCACTAAACCACTACACGTGAGTGATTAGGTTTGGCACTGCCCTAATCCTGATAGCTCTGAATAAGTTAAAAGGAGGAAAAAAAAAAGTTAAAAGGAACAGAAAGCCAGGTGTGGTGGCGCTCTCCAATAATGCCAGCCTTCGGTAGGCAGAGGCAGGAGGACTGCTGTGAGTTTAAAGCCAGGCTGGGCTAAATAGTGAGTTCAAGGCCAGTCTGAGCTACAAAGTGAGACCCTGTCTCAAAAACCTAAAAAAAAAGGAAGCAAAAAGACATTGTTAAGGTTCCTTGTTGCTTTTTTGCTACATTCTGGCTGCATGAACTGGTTCTCTGCACTGCCCCTCTACCAAGCCACTTTGCCTTGGAGCCCGCTGATTATGGACTGAAACCTCTAGGAACTGTAAGCCAAATAAACCCCTCCCCCCTAACTTGGGTGTCGGTATTTTGTCTCAGCAATGAGAGAAAAGTTACTAACACAGGCAGTATATTTTTTTCACATTTTAATCTCTCTGAAATTGGGGTGTCTTTCAAATGACAGCTTCTCAGAATGGATGCAGTACCCCCTTTCTCACGATCTCCCTCTTTTTTGCTTCGGAACAAAAAATGTGGAAACCTAGACTTTTTTTCTAAAGAAGGGCATAAAATGAGCAGAATCCAGATTAGGTTTATGACATGAGAAAGAAGAAAACAATCCAAACCCAGTATATTTCGTAAATCATTAAAATGATCAAGCTTCATTGGCACTAAATTTTTTTGTTTTTGTTTTTGGGGTTTTTTTTTGGTACCGGGGATTGAACCCGGGTCCTTGTGTTTGCGCAGCAGGCGGCGAAAGCACTTAGCTAAATCCCCGGCCCCCTCACTAAATTTTTAAAAAATGGATTTAGTGTAGTAATATTTTCTGAACGCTCTGGTTTGAGGGACAACTGTTCGTCCTTTCCAGCTGCTCAATTCATTCCTGGTGAAAGGCTTTACCTTTTAACCTTCGTTACGGTCCCCACTTCTCAACACTTCTCTGTTTTCCTCCCCAGTACAGGATTTCGGCCGCACGCTTTCCCAGGTAATACGGCTCGCGGCGGCAGTGCTCGCGAGATTACGGCGGCGGTGCGGCCCCCCCCCCCCCCGCCCCGCGCGCAGGGTCGCCAGGGCAACCGGCGCGTCCCCGCCCGCCGGGCAGTCAGCTGACGGGCGCCCGGGAGGCCACGGGCGCCCGGGAGGCCGCGGCCGCAAACATGGCGGCCGAGATCCACTCCAGGCCACAGAGCAGCCGCCCGGTGCTGCTGAGCAAGATCGAGGGCCACCAGGATGCCGTCACGGCCGCGCTGCTCATCCCTAAGGAGGACGGCGTGATCACGGCCAGCGAGGACAGGTAGGGCCGGCGGGCGACGCGGGATCCGCACCCAGCCGCGACGGTACGCGGGGACGGTGGGGGCGGCCCCGGCCTCGCGCCCGTGTCACCCCTGGGTCCTTGGGTCTTGATCCCCTTCGCACCCCGTTAGCACGGAAACCAGTCCCCACCTCGCCCCTTCAGCCCGCACCCTCGTTCCCACCGGGCCCCTCCAGCCCGGGACCCCTGTACCTTCCACCCAGCCTGGGGCCGCTTTCTGCTGCCCCGCTCCAGCCTTGGACCTTCGCTTGTCTTTTTCCTTTTTGGGCTTTGGCCTGGCGCTCGGGAGTTTCATGACGTTCTCGGTCAGTTCCAAGTCACCTCCTTTGGGAGCCTGGAGGACTGGCGGCTGCTTCCCACGGGCTCTGGGAGCCTCTCGGGGTGTTCGTCTCCTCTGTGTCGCTCTGGGGTTCGAAAGTCTTCGCCCTACGCCAGGTTTTCACCACAGTTGCTAGAAGTACCTGAGCTCTTTTTTACTAGTTTTTTTTTTTTTTTCTAAAGAGTAACTCATTTTTAAAAAGGATAGACACATTTATTTTACGGGGAAATTTTATTTATAGCTCTGCCATTAGGAAAACTAGTATCATTTGCCACAAAGAATAAACTAAAACATGTTAATCTATCTCTGGCCTATCTATCCTAATGCATCTCGCATTGGACGCCCACCATACTTTGGGAAAGAATGATTTGGGCCAGTTTTTTCATTTAGCCAAGAGCAAACTGAGGCTGCAGAGTTGAAACTTCGAGAGTCACACAGATTTTAGTAAAGCCAGAAACGAAACTGGGGACTCCCCGTTGTGTACTCTGTGATCTTTGGGGCAGCATTCCTGGCTTGGAGCAATACCACTTGTTTTAAAACTTTAGCGTTTTAAAGACCTTAAAGATTGAAGACTTGAGTGGCTTTCTGGTGGGGCCGTGAAGGAAGTGATGGAAGTTTATTGAATGCAACTCTTTGCTTTGTCCAGAGAGTGTTTCTAAATAGTGATATAGGTCAAAAGTGGAAAGGCGTTGTGAATGAAAGTTACAGTACTGCTATTTTCTCTGAGCTGAAGGCAGAGAGACTTTCATAATTATGACCCTTTGAAGTAGGTTTCATTGAGGGCTTGTCCTGAGGGGAAGAGAAACTCAGGAGGCCCCCAGCTCCTGTTTGACCTTTGTGTTTGGTTTTTGAACGAACAGGGCTTTTTCCTCAGTAAGGCAGTGACTTTGTTAGAGCAGGTGGTGGCCGCCCTGTCCCTGCAGTTTATGAGAAGTGGACCTCAAACAGGGTGGGGAAGGGATTGGCAGTGGCAGTGCTTGAGCAGTGGCCGTGCTTGAGCAGTGGCCGTGCTTGAGCAGTGGCCGTGCTTGAGCGTGGGTGTGTGAAGCAGGAAAGTAGTAGGGGAACAATGGGTTCCTGACACATAGGGACAAGATAGGAATGTAAAAAAAAGCAGAGGAGGAGGAAAAAATATGCTATTTGTATGATTTGAACATAGATACCCGCCTGGGTGTGGTCATGCATGCCCATAATCCCAGCACTCAGGAGGCTGAGGCAAGAGGATTGGAAGGTTGAGCCTAGCCTGGGGAATTAGCAAGATTTTCCCTCAAAATAAATTTAAAAATAAAAAGGGCTAGGAATGTAACTCATTGTGAAGGCCCTTGGTTAAAGAAAAAGTCTTTATTCAGTAAAGTATTTTATTGTCTTTGTTTGATTTTGGTATCGGGGATTGAACTCAGGATCTTGCGCTTGCGAGACAGGCAGTGGAACCACTGAGCTAAATCCCCGGTCCAGTATTTTATTGTCTTAGTTGCTTTTCTCTCTCGTTGCTGAGACAAAATACCCAACACTCAAAGTTAAAGGGGGAAAGGTTTATTTAGCTTACAGTTTGTAGAGTTTTCAGTCCATAATGGGCTGGCTCCGAGGGAAGATGGCTTGGCAGAGGAGCAGTGCAGAGGAGAAACAGTTCATGGCCAGCTGAAGACAGCAAAAGCAAGCAAGCTAGGGAGAAGACAAACCTCTTTCTGTCCTTTATGTTATATCCAGGCTACTGGGGTTAGGGCAGTGCCAAACCAGTCAGTGTGATTTAGTAACCACATACCCTTAATCCAGACATCGCACACTCTAGATTCAGCCACTTCTGAAAAAGCCCCACCTAGGACTGCATGAAGGTTTGGGGAGACATCTAGACCCAAAACATAACATTTATTCATGACATTCATAACATTTATTCTATTTATTCACGTTGGATAAATTGCTGAATATTTGCACTACTGGGCAGCAGCAGTGCTGATAACATGTTTTATGGAAAGTGATTACTAAGTGGCTCTGGGACTGACATATTGTGGGATCAGGCCTTGGATCAAGTCAGCCCTAGTGACTCCCTGAGCTTTGTTAGATGACAGGGCCCCTGAGGGTTGGCGCCTCACTGGCCCGTGGTTCTTATGTGTGTTTCAGGCCCATTGAAATTCCCCGGAGGTAGAACAGCCTTTTCACTAGGTGCAACATTTTATGAGACTTAATGAAAGCACGTGGCCGAGTTTTTTGTTGGTCATGGTTTTTTGTTACATCGTCATATATTACTTCATAGCATTCATGCATATATTTAGGTGGTTTCTAGGTTCTTTCTGTCCTGAACAAAGAATTGGTCAAGACAAGCACAAAAGGTAGCAAGGTTTTACATGTATTAAAGGTATGCAAAGAAAAAAAACATTCTCTGAAGAGTAGTTCAGGCCAACTAAAGTAAGAAACCACAGGGAGGGCCACTGCAAGAGTTAAAGGCCCCCTCCCGCTTGATGTGGCCATCTTTTTTATCTCCCACTCTTCAGGCTGAGGTCAGGTCTAGGCAGCCCTATCAAAACCTTGCTCAAGTTCTCCGGAGAAGAATTGAAGACAGCACTCCCCGATGGGCTCCAAGTGAAGGGCTTTGGGAAAGGTTCTGTGCATTGTGTCCTGGAACTCTGTAATTGACAAGTCACACCCACTTTCTTAGCCAGTTTGCTATGCCCTAATCTCCTGTCTCATAACCTGCCCTGATAAAACTTCTGATTTATGGATTTTTGTGGCCCTTGACCTGAAAAAGCCAGCATATATCTCTGAGGGAGATATTATTTATCCATGTATTTGTTAGGCATTTACCAAGTGCTAGGCCTCTCCTAGACCTGTGGGGGTAGAAAGACAGCTGACACCAGCATCATTCTTTCTCAGCTGGACAGTCTGTTGAAGAGATGGCACTGTGGACTCGGCTGTCAAGGTGGGAGGACACACAGAGAGCGAGCAAGCTCCTTGGCTGGAATGGGAGTGCAAAGACAGCCACCCAGAAGAGGTCTTTGGAGCTGGTCTTTGTGGATAGAAGAGTGGTTTATTGAAGGAGAGATGCATATCCCCCTTCCAGGCAGAAGGAAAGCAGGAGGGGATTTGAAGGGATAAAGAGGCACAGCTATTTGTAGGTGACCAGAGGAGAGAGGGCCTCCACAGCAGGAGAGAGGACTGAGAGCTGGGAAGTCCACTCTTAGGAATTTGGACTTCATTTTGTAGGCAGTGAGGAAGCATCAAAGAACTCAAAACAAGCACAAGATGTAATTGGAACTTGTACTTCAGAAATAACAATAGCTAACCTTTTGAAAGCCGGTTCTCTACCAATACAGCATTAGACCTGTGTGTTCCTGGTCTGATCTTCATATCCCCCCCACCCCACCCTGAGGGCAGGTAAAGTCTCTTCCCTTATCAGCAGTTCCAAAATTCAGTATGTTTTGAAAGTCACGCTTTGTTTGTGTGTGCACGTGCCTGCATAAGTGGAACCTGAAAACTTACTTGGTGCTAAGATTTGACCTGAACAGATGAGACTCTGCAGTGTGAAGATTCATCCCATTGTACTGATGAAATAGCAATGCACTGAGCTGAGAATGTCTTGCTCGGAGTGTTATGGAACCTATGGTGCATGTATCACATTGTAACAGCCATTGGTAGGTTAGAAAACTGAGGCCCAAAAAGACATTGAAATAAGTGCCCAAGGTCATATCGTTATTAAGTGATGAGTGTCATCTGAACCTGGGTCTGACTCTGAGGCCCTATTTCTTTTTTGCTGTGCATCCAGTTTCAAAAAATACATCTGGAAGGGTCAGGGATGTAGCTAAGTAGCACCATGCCTGCCTGCAAGCACAAAGTCCTGAGTTCGATTCCCGGCACTGGAGAAAAAAATACATTTGGAGATACTAATCAGGCAGTATTAGTCTGTGGTGACTACTGCACGCCAAGGAATATACCTTTTGCTATTGTTCAGTTTTTTGTCCTTCTTTTCTACTTTTCCTTTTTAAAAATTAAAAAAATTTTTTTTATTAGTACTCTACTAGTTTTCAAGGTTAAAAAATAATCAGCTTGCATCTTTTCTATACAGCTTTTGCTTTAATGCTTGGAAAAGTAACATTAAACATTTAGAGTGGGGTCCAGCTGAAGCTAATTCATTTTATACAGCTATAAGCAGTGAGAATGAGCTCAGAACATTTGGGAAGGCAGGGCCAAAGACATAAGGGTCTTCCAGAATAATCAGGGTGCACTTTCTGAAGTCTGCGCTTGTGATTTCAGCCCCCAGTGAACATCGGCAATTCCAGAGCCATTCTGAGTTTTCAGGACTGCAGAGCAGAACTGCTGGCATGTGGGTCACTACCAGGAGTGATCGTTATCCCAGCCCCCACAGCTAAGAAGTATTTGGCCCCAAAAGTCAGTAGTGCTGAGATTGAGAATCCCTAGTGTAGGTTTAATGTGCTTGTGTCATGGTCTTTCTAGAGTGATGGTTCTCACACTCGAACATGCATCAGAATCACTCTGGAGTCTTGTTAAAACACAGCTTTCTGAGCACCATCCCTCGAGTTTCTGATTGGGAAAATTGGGTGGGACCTGAGAGTTTCCTTGTCTGCCAGGCTCCCAGGGGATGTTGGTGCTGATCTGGATGTCCAGGCAGCACCCTTTGAGGGGCACTGTTCTTTAAGAACGGGGGTTATTC